GTCCCTCTCTGCCCCTTCCCCACCTGGCAGTAGAAGGCGAAGAGGCGCAGGCGGCGCAGGGGAGCGAAGAAGAGCACGGGCACGGCCACCTCGATGACGTAGGTGGCCACCACGCTGAGCTTCTGGAACCACACGGGCAGCTGGTGGGCGAACCAGGCCACCGGCGTGGGGATGCACTGCGTCTCGTAGTGGTACGTCAGCGCTGGGGGCACGGAGGGGCTCAGGGTGGGGGCACACACAGCGGGGACAGCCCCCCAGAGCAGCCCCCGCAGAGCCGAGCCTTGCCCCCGAGTGTGGGGGCACAGCTCTGCCCCCTCCAGACCTGCAGTCCCTCATCTGTGACCCCACAAACCCACCTCCTCATCTGTGACCCTCAAACCCACCCCCCCCTCACCTGTGACCCCCCCAAACCCACCCCCTCACCTGTGAGCCCCCACCAGGTGGGGCAGCGGCTGCTCAGCTTCACGACCCCCGAGGCGAACATGAGGCGGAAGAGGAGCCACCGCACCCCCCAGAAAGTGACGGGGTCGTGGGGTCTCCAGGAGGGGGACCCCCGCCTCAGCAGGCGCAGGGGGGCCACGAGCACGGCCAGGAACCCCGTTTCCAGCAGCAGGCTGTCCCTGGGGGGATGGAAAGCACAGAGCTGAGCCTCCCCAGTGCCACACACCATCCCTGACCCCCAGCACACCCCATTGTGGTCCCCAGAGCCTCCCATGCCCCCCATCCCAGTCCCCAAAGCCCCCCCATCCCACCATGCCCCCATCCTGGTCCCCAGTGTCCCTGTCCCACTGTGGTCCCCAAAGTCCCCCACCTCGGTCCCACAGCCCCCACCCCATTGTGCCCCCCCTCCCCGGGGGCTGTGGGGGGTGCAGGACATCTCCCCCAGCTCCAAACCCCCCACAGCCCCTGCAAAAGGCCCAAGGGGGGGGTCCTGACTCACCACTGGAAGTACAGGAAGACTTGTCCCACCTGTGGAGAGGGAATGGGGAGAGGGGGGGTGAGTGGGGCAGGTTTGGCCCCCCCCAGACCCTTCCCCACATGGAGAGGGGCAGGCACAGACCCCCCCTGGCTTCCCCCCCAGCTCCTTTCCCAGCACGGGGTTCCAGGCCAATCCCAAGGAGCCGTGGGAATGGCAGCGCCTGGATCACAGCCCGGGAATGCTCCGGGAGGAGGAAGGGAGGGGGTCATTCCACACTGGGCGTGTTCCCTGCCCGCAGCCCAGCCCGGGGGAGGAGCAGGGATGTGCTTCCAGGGACGCGCTTCCAGCATCGCCCTAAAAGGGAGTGAGGAGGGAACGGCCCGGGAACGGCCAGAGACACACTGGGATACACAATTCCAAGGGGCGGGAGCCGCTCCCGGGAGTGACAGCCCCCACCTCCGGAGGTGACAATTCCCTGCCCCGGGGGATAAAAGCCATACACGGGTGACTTATCCCTCGTTAACTCCCTGATTCCAGAGGGAAGAAAAACCCTCCTCCTACCCGCACAGCAGCTGGCTCTGACTCACCAGAGCTCCTGGAGGGAGGATTCATGGAATCATGGAATGGTTTGGGTGGGAAGCGACCTCAAATCACATCCCATTCCAAACCCCTGCCCTGGGCAGAGATACCTTCCACTGTACCAAGTTGTTCCAAGCCCTGTCCAACCTGACCTGGAGCTGGAGAGGGACTTGGCATAAGGCCTGGAGGGACAGGACACAGGGAATGGCTTCCCACTGCCAGAGGGCAGGGATAGATGGGATATTGGGAAGGAATTGCTGGCTGGGAGGGTGGGCAGGTCCTGGCCCAGGTTGTCCAGAGAAGCTGTGGCTGCCCCTGGATCCCTGGAAGTGTCACAGGCCAGGTCGGAACAACCTGGGGAAGTGGAAGGTGTCCCTGCCCCTTTGGGCTGGATTGGGATGGGATTTAAAGTCCCTTTCCCTCCCAAGCCATCCCCGATTCCACGACTGTACCTCCCAACACCTTCCCCAGCTCCACAAGGGAATCTGAGCACCCCAGGAACTCGCAGGACGGTTCCAATCCCCTGCAGGACCCCCCCCGACCCCTCACCTGGTAGAGGGACAGGTAGAGCACCCGGAGCAGGGCGAAGACCAGGCAATCCCGCATGGAATCGCACACCAGGGCTCCGAAGGACGCCAGGATCCCCACGAGGCACAGCAGTTCCATGCCCTGCTCCGTGTCCAGCCCCAGGCGCGGGCTGAGCCACAGCAGGGTGGGGAAATCCCGGAGCTGCTCCCACAGCCCCTTCCCGCTGAGCCGCAGCACCTTGCGGGCCGGCAGGATCCCCTCCCTTCCATACAGGCCTGCAACGGGAACGGCACTCAGGCATTCCCAGGAAAACCGGGGCAGCACAGCCGGGAGTCCCCCCAAAGCAGCGCCTCGGCTTCACCCCTGTGGCAGCACCCGGGTGCCGACCAGGGGGCTTCAGGTTGTCCCCACACCCCGTCTCAGCTTCCCAGTTGGAACTGGGAGCCTGTGGGAAGAGCCCAGGTGCAGCCCAGGAGATGCCACATCCAGCCTGGCCACGTGGACGGAGGCGATGCCGCTGCCTGCTGTGGGCAGGGGGAGTTGGGGGACTCAGGGGGAAGTTGGGGGGCTCAGAGGGGGCCTGAACACCCCCTGGACCCCTGGGGAGGGTGGAGGGAGGAGAGGAGCCGCTCCCAGTATTCCCGGTCTTCCCAGTAAGGGAGAGATCAGGCTATGGGGAGGGAAATGGGATGGCAGGGGCGGCCCCGTGGGGGTCTGTCAGCCCCATCCCGGCTCCGTCCCGGCTCCACCGGCCCCGTTCCAGCTTTATCCCAACTCCACCAGTCCAACTCCCGACTCCACTGGCCACGTCCCGGCTCCACCCCGGCTCTACTGGTCCCACTCCCTGCTCTCTCCCAGTTCTACCGGCCCCCTTCCAGCTCCATCCGCCCCATCCCCGGCTCTATCTCGGTTCTATTGGACCCGTCCCAGCTCCGTGCCGGCTCCATCCCGGTGATACCGGCCTCGTCCTGGCTCCATCCCGGCTCCACCGGCCCCATCCCTGGTTCTGTCCCGGTTCTACCGGACCCGTCCCCGCTCCATCCCGACACTACCTGCCCCATCCCTGGCTCTGTCCCGGTTCTATGCCAGCTCTATCCCAGCTCTGTACCGGCCCCATCCCTGGTTCTGTCCCGGTTCTACCGGACCCGTCCCGGCTCCATCCCGGTAGTACTGGACCCCTTTTAGCTCTATGCCCGTTCTACTGGACTCCTCCCAGTTCTGCCCCAGCTCCATCCTGGTTCTCCTGGACCCGTCCCAGCTCCGTCCCGGCTCTGTCCCGACCCTCCCGTCCCCATCCCGGCTCCACCGGCCACGTCCCCGGCCCCATCCCGACCCCGTCCCGGCCGCCCCAGCCCCATGCCGGCCCTGCCCGGCATCCCCCCTCGCCCCCGCGGTTCCCGGCTGTCCATGCTCCCCCCCCGCCCCCCCGCGGTACCGGGGATCTGCACGTAGAGGGAGCCGAAAGCGGCCACATAGACGGCGGCGAGCCCGGCCAGGAACAGCGCCCGCGGCCGCGCCGCCTCCGCCATGGCGGCCCCGCCACCGCCCCCGCCGCGCGCCCCTGGCGTCACAGCGCGGCGCGCGCGGGAAACGCGGCCATGGCGGCGGCGGGCGGGGAGTGAGCGGTGAGGGGAGCGGTGAGGGGACGGGAGCGGTGAGGGGAGCGATGAGGGGATGGGAGAGGTGAGGGGAGAGAGAGACAGAGGAAATGGGAGCAGTGAGGGGAGAGAGGGGAGTGAGCGGTGAGGGGAGAGAGAGGATGGGAGCGGTGAGGGGAGAGAGGGGAGTGAGGGGGAACAGGAATTGGGGTTGTGATTCGGGATCGGGGGTAGGAGCGGCACCGGGACTGGGTCAGGGTCGGGATCGGGACTAGAGTTGTGATCCGGAGTCGAGATTGAGATCAGGATCAGGGCTGGGATGGGGTCGGGCTTGGGGTCAGGATCAGGGTCAGGATCAGGGTTGGGAGTGCGGTCGGGACTGGGATTGGGTCGGGGTTGGGACTGAGGTTGGGATCCAGGGTTGGGGTCGGGATGGGGAGTGGCGTCAGGATCGGGGTCGGACTGGGGTCAAGGTTGGAATCGGGGTCGTGATTGGGGTCAAGGTCGTGACTGGGGTTGGGATCGGGATCAGGGTCAGGGTCGGGGTTGTGACGCTGGGTCAGGATTGGGATTGGGGTCAGGACTGGGTCAAAGTCAGGATTGGAGTTGGGGCCATGGCTGGGATCAGGGTCAGGATCAGGATTGGGGTTGTGATCCATGTTTGGGATTGGGGTCTGGATGGGGTTGGGATTGTATCAGAGTCAAGACTGGGATTGGGTCTGGGATCAGGATTGGGATCGGAATCAAAGTCAGGACTTTCCAGCCTTAGTGATCCCATATTGCCTGAATTGCTGCCTTTCTGTTTAACTCCAGCTGATCTGGGATTCCTGCCCCAGCTCTCCCGGGATCCCACTGACCTACCTCCCTCAGCCATTCCCTGCGGGATCTCTGGTCCAGAGCCGCGTGGTTTGAGCCCCTTTGGGGTCTCTCCGCCGGGATCCCGCCATGGAGGAGGTGGATTCCCGCTTCCTGCACCTGCTCCAGCCCATCCGGGACCTCACCAAGAACTGGGAGGTGGACGTGGCCGCCCAGCTCGAGGAGTACCTGGAGGAGGTAACGGGGAGCTCCCGCCCCATCCCCCTCCCTGTGCCACCCCCAAATCCCACCAGGACTCAGCCTCTCCCGTCCCCGCCCTTCCCAGCTGGATCATATCGGCATCTCCTTTGACAACGGGAAAACCACCATGAACTTCACGGAGGCGGCGCTGGTGATCCAGGGCTCTGCCTCCATCTACAGCAAGAAGGTGAGCACAGCACGCAGGGCATCCCTGCTGCACCCCTATCCCCTGCCAGGCCCATTCCACGAGCCCTGAGCTCCATGGGCTCACCCTGGAATCCCCCCTTGGCTTCGAGAGGCCTAAATTAAATGACTGATAGGAATAAGAGGATTTATCGTTCCTAAATTTAATCGCTTTGTTAGGTGTTGGCAGCCTGCGAAAGAGCAGGAATTTTGCTCTTCTCCAGTTTCTCTGCAGAGGGTGGGATGTAAAATCTTATTTCCTCATAAAGTCATGGAATGGTTTGGGTTGGAAGAACATTAAAGCCCATCCAGTACCATTCCTCTGCCATGGGCAGGAGCACCTTCCACTAGACCAGGTTGCTCCAAATTGACCTTGAAAAATTCCCGGGATTTCCCCAAACCTGGCCTCAGGATGGCTGAACTAGGGAAAAGAACAACAGGAATTCATGGAATTGAACTCCAGCTGTCCTGGGATAATGAGGAGGGGTGAAGTGGTTCGTCTGGTGGAGTAGCTTTCCTGGAAGCTGCTCCCACCTTTCCCAGCTCCAGGTGCTGTTTTCCAGGTGGAATACCTGTACATGCTTGTTTGCCAGGCACTCGACTACATCTCCAATAAAAAGTAAGTGGGGAATTCCCTTCCCAGAGGGAGTTTTGCTGGGGCTGCTGCCCCGTGGAAACGCTGCTGTGGGTCTCTGCCTTGGTAATCCTGCTATCATGGGCCATTCCCATTCCCAACAAGATCTGGTGGCTCCTGCATGGATTGGTCGTTTTTAGTTGTTTGTTTTTACCTGCCACGTGCAGTTTGTCTCCGGCAGCTCTGCCTTGTGTCCCACAGTGTGGATCTGCAAAAATCATGGGATTACAGAATCCTGGAGGTTGGAAAATCCCTCTGGGCCCATCGAGTCCAACCCACCCCCAGCACTGCCAAGGCCACCACTGGCCATGTCCCCAAGTGCCACATCCACAGGGCTTTGAAATCCCTCCAGGCCTGGGCACTCCAAACCTCCCTGGGCAGCCCCTGCCAAGGCCTCACCACCCTTGCCAGCAACAAATTCCTCCTCAGGGCCAACCTGAGCCTCCCCTGGCACAGCTTGAGGCCGTTTCCCCTTGTCCTGTCCCTGTTCCCTGGGAGCAGAGCCCGACCCCCCCCGGCTCCCCCCTC